TCAGGAGTCAGGAAAGCTAGAAAGCTGAAATTTCAAGGGGTGTTTTCTGACAGTTCTGGTGGCCAGTCTAAATTTGTTTAGTTAGAAACACTTGCCAAAAACAGCGGGGAACTATGCAAAAAACGCATCTTCGCACGGGCAGCCCGTTCGTTGGCCAATTATTCATCTCGAAACCTACGAAAGTTAGAGGGCTGAAACCTTGGGAACTTAATCTGCATGAACGTATGGGTTCCCACCTCCAAAATGGGCGCCCACGTGGTTCCCGCGTACAGACCCGTCAAAGTTTTTGGCGAGTGAACTGCTAACTTGGAGATCAGAAAAGCTAGAAAGCTGAAATTTTAAGGGGACGTTCTCCGTCCACGTAGGTCTTAATGAGTTCAAACTTAATTCCCCGGTATGCGCAGTTCCCACTTAAAGGCCCGTGAAAGTTTTTTGCGGGTAAGTTAGTAATTCAGGAAACTGAAAAGTAAGAAAGCTGGAATTTTAAGAGGATGTTCCGCCTGCGTAAAACCTAGTGGCTTCAACCTCTGTCTCCAGCTGTGTATAGTTCTTGCGTAAGTTGCTAACTAGGGAACCAGAAAAGCCAGGAAGCTGAAATTTTAAGGCAGTGTTTTCTAATAATCCTGGTAGCCAGTCTCATTTCTCTTAGCTAGAAGATCTGGCTGAAAAAACAGTGCTGTTCGCAACAAAAACTGTGGGGAACTGTGCAAAAAACGCATATTCGCACCGGCAGTCGGTGCGCTGGCCAATTATTTTTTTTGCAAAAACACGAATAGAAAATAGGCTCAGTAATCCTACATGAAATCAATTTGTGCCAGGCGCCAAAATGCCCTACAGAAGAAATTATTGGCGACGCGCACGGGGCGGGCCCGTGCGATCATGCGTTTTTGCAGTATTTCGTGCTGTTATAAGACTACTTGGAGCCCTAGAAGCTAGAATTTACGGCACACTGATTCTCGAAGTTCAGGAAATTAATTGTGCAACTACATGACACTTGTCAAGGAACATCCACTGAAAATTTCTGCTTTCTGTCTTTTCTGGTCCTCCAGCTAGCAATCTTCTCGCCAAAAGATTTCACGAGGCCACATGTGAGAACTACACATACCTCAGCGCTGAGTTTGAAATTTTAAGTTGTACGTGGACTGGGAACATCCCCTTAAAATTTTAGCCTCCCTCCTTTCCTGCTTCTCGAATAAGTAACTTCCACGCCAAAAACTTTCACGAGGCCATACGCGAGAACCACGCGTAGCTGGAGGCTGAATTTGAAATCTTCGAGTTCTTATGTGGACAGGGAACATAACCGCAAAATTTCAGCTTTTTAGCTTTCGTGGTTCCCAAGTCAGCGATTTTCCCGCCAAAACTCTCACACGCTCGTACACTAGACCTAGACATGCGTGAAGGTTGTGTTGCGGTTTTGGGGTAGCACCTGGCCGGCGAATTCACTAGCAAAATATTGGCGCCGAAGCTTGTTTGGTTGCTGAGTTGAAATACCCGGCCAAACGCGCGCGCACACGCACACATACACTCACACACATACATACACACACATACACGCACACACATACACGCACACACACATACACACCGAGGTCGTCACAATACGCGTTTTTGTATTTGTATATATGCAAAAAAGCATAAAAAGCAAATTTTGGAAGGGTTGCATAGAGGGAGAACTACTCTCGTTTTGTCAAGAGAATACGTTGCACGATTTGGATTTGTTACACCTCTGGATGGGTGCAGATGCTAAGCTGGTGCGGACTTTCATCTGGTCCGCCGTAAACCAAAGAGAGCAAAATGAGTATAGGACATGCAGTCGGTTTTCTGTGAGGTTTTCTATACCGGGCACCTGTTTACCAGATAATATTCTGGCTCAGCAAATTCTCTTCCAAACGCATGCATCCCAACCCCTCGAGATATCTCTATAAAATGGCTGATTTCTTGCACTACAGTATATTGTCGATAGCCGATTGAAAAGCACCTGTTTGCTAGAATCAGCGCTTTGGTCAGTTTCTTCCAAATCCCATCAGCGTTAAAGAAATGAAGCCCTGAGGTGCAGGAGACAGTACTAGCGTAGTATCATATCTACACTGCTTGTCCTGTTTCACTGATGGCTTTATGAGCGAAAATGCCGGCAATTACCGTCGACAGCACAGAAGTGCTCGCATGGGGTGGCAAGTTAGTGTTCGCCCACTCTGCTAACAAACGCTGCAGAATCACTCAAAATCGCATAAAGCCGTGAATTCATCTAATGTAAAATTATTTAACAAACTGAGAACTAACAGCAAACAAAAACCATAAATATGCAGGGCATGCAAGTGGACACTTTCTTTCCGCTCTTGCAGTTCAATTCTATCGCACAAAAATTTCTAAACTGAAGTATGGGCTAAAAATGCAGATTTCGGATTAAGCTGAATGAAAGTACCAGCTTGCGAAGGAAGCGAAAACGGAGTCGAGCTTCCAGTGCAACTAAATAAAATAAGACGATTTCAGAACGAATCAGATTTGCTTGGAGGACGTTTCATGAACAGAAGATGCAGCCATCTATGTGGCTGGAGGAAGTGAAACAGACATGTTAAATACTTTGCAGATGTTTTATTCAGGAATTAGGGCAGCAATACGCAGAGCTCTGTCAAAGTGAAAACAAATAGCGGCGAGCACCAGGGTAGCTCATGCGGTCACGCGTCTTGCGCAGTTCCGTCCAGCGGACGTTTGTCTGCTAAGAATTTTCAGTGTTTTACAGTCTGTATAAAAATAGCTGATATGTTGTCTGATTCTTAAG